TTTGAGTATCACTCGAATTATGGTTAACGTATAGCATCGCTGTGTATGAGTTGTTGTCTTAGCAAAGAAAACGATGTTTTGGTCAGTTGGGAAGTGAGAGTCATTTCTTCACATAAAAACATCGAGGAATTGTATAATTAACAAATTATTAATAATTTTTTATGACATTTTTTAAAAATAATAGATTCCTTGAAAACTATATTGTATTATAATATTATTTTATCTAATATTAGATAATAATGTTTATTTAATCTTCTTTCAGACAATGTAATACCGAGCACGTACAAATATATACGTATGTACAGTATATTGTATACATACTATATATACGATATACTGTATTTTAAATTACAATCACAGCAACTGAATTACACGATGTCTAGTGTTTTCCATATGAATCTAACATTAGATTCATATGAGAATAAAATACTATAAAACTAAAGTTTTATATCCATGTTTAACATGTTTATGGAATAAGTTTATAAATCTATAAACGATATATAAAGAAATGCTAATTAATGAAGATGTTTGAAAATGTGTACAAAATGTATTTGTGGCGCCAATTTTTAGCCCCTCTCCTGAGTGGTTAGTTTTCTGCAATACACTATACATAAAGAATAAATATATTGCAGAAAACACTAACCACTAGGGGCAGGGGCAATACTAACAATTGGCGCCACATATACATTTTCAAACATCTCCATTAATAAGCATAGCTGTACTGCATTTGATTATTAATAAATAACTAAACAAAATTTTAACAAACGAAATTTCATATGTTATCAATCCGTTTAAAAAACATTTTGAACCACAATTCAGTATGAATAATGTGGTTTATAGGATCGTTCGGCTGCCCCTCCCCCACCCTATGGAATTTAACATGGGATTCCAGCTTTAACATGGGTTTCTATCGGATTACAGTTTAAGTCTATGACATAGGGATAACATGGGTAATGCTAAGTTTATGGCAATGATAAGTCTATGGGTAATGCTAAGTCTATGGGTAATGCTAAGTCTATGGCAATGATAAGTCTATGGCAATGATAAATCTATGGCAATGATAAATCTATGGCAATGATAAGTCTATGGGTAATGTGTCAGTACACATAATAAGCCTATAGCATAGGGATAACATGTGCAATGGTATATCAATGAGATTATAAATGAATTTGCCATAATAAATAGAACTAATTGTTGTCAAAAACATTTAAAATTCTCTAAATAATAGTGAAATATTCTAACAATAGTATTGAAAATTTTAAAATCTGATGCATTTCCCCAATTGTGGTTAACGTATAGCATCGCTGTGTGTGAGTTGTTTCCAAATATACAATAATAATTGTTGTGAAGGAAAAGTCAAGGAATATTCTTAATATTATTGCGATTTTCAAAAAAATGCACAAATTACATTTGGTAAACCTACCAAATATGTTATGTGTTCTATTTAGGTGTTTCTAATAAATAAAATGCAGTGAAAAACATCAATTTTAATGGGATGGGCTCATCATATACTGTACTATATATTATATTATATATACTATCATTTATATTACTCGTGTTCAATGAAGGTCCTTTTGGGACATTGGAGTAGAAAAGCCAATTGTCATAAACAACATTAAAATTATGTTTTTTAATTTAATTAAAACATTAAAATAGATAAATAATTTTTGAATTTTTTGCAAAATAGTAAACAGAGACATCAATGATACCTCTAATATATCTATTTACAATATTTTGTAATGCATTTATTTGGTCTCAACCCAGTTAAACCACATGCGCTGTTTAGTTTACATTGTAAGTTAAGTTAAGTCTTGTCCACGGAAGGAAACTTATTTTTAAAGTCAGGGCAAAATTCTAACTTTTAAAGTAAAGTTTAAGTCTAGTCCATGCAAAGTATTTTGCCAATATTTAATCCAAAGAGAAGTATTTTGACTTTCCATGGATTGACTAATAGACTTAGCATTCTTTATGGATTTAGTGTTTTCATATTCTCCATTGCCATAGGATTAGTATTAGGAATAGTATACCAATAATTTTAAAACTGCTGTAATGTCTTTTTGTTTGTATGATTATTCAATGCTTTTCTATGTAAAATTTGTCCGTTACTAGATTTTATATATTTCTTTAGCCGTGATAGTTAACTGGACAAATTATACATTGAATTAATTCCCTGTTATCAGGCAACAATTCTGTAAAAACAGATCCAAAATCGAATCCCCAGTCAAAAGTTATTCACGATTTCCGAACTAAAGATTGTTATTTGGAAAACTGTATATTAAGTCTAGGTAATTCAGTAAAATTAGACATCTAACTATAAGCCACATTCTTCATGTATGAATTGTGGTTAAAAATTGGTTAACCAGTTGGCGAGTCTACACATTGAAATAGTTGTACAATTATTTTAATGTATTTCAAGTATTATTTTTAAATATTTAATAAGTACTGCATAACTGTTGTTAACTGTTGACCCAATGAAGTATAATCTGTATAAATTATAAAGTATAATTATACAATTTGTACGTATAACTCTGCCTTTACATATTGTGTATTGTAGTTTGTACAATATATTTTTAATCTCAAAACACGATAAAACTCGTTTTTATAGCCACTCCTTTCCGGTTCTACGATAACATGAGAGCACCGCTTAATTCTTAGGTGTGATTTCAAAAGGAGACTATTGTTAAATGTGGCATGCTCATTTTATGAAAACCGTCAAATACAGAACTTAAAAATAAATAAATATGAAAAGTTAAGCAGAGATTCTATAAGAATTCCCAAATAAAAATAATTAATAGAATGATCGGGAATGACATTTAGTTAGTTTTAGAGGTTATAATGGACTAAAAGAATAACATTGTTATTTTCCCGAATACTCCAGATTTTGGCATATTTTAAAAATATTCCCGATGTTTGCCTAATTTGAGAATTTTCCCAATTTTGACATATTTTAGAAACACTCACACAAAGCAATGCAATACGTAAACCACAATTCGAGTGGTGCTTAAAGAATTGATTAGCATTGTCTACACATTTAATAAGAGTCCATAGGATTAGCACTCCCTATAGACTTAGCATTGTTTTTAGACTTAGCATTAGTCCATAGGATTAGCATTAGTCCCATTGAGTTAGCATTGTCTATAGATTTAGCATTGCCCATAGTAATCCTAGGTCATAGACTTAACATTGTTCATAGGTTTAGCATTGCCATAGACTTAGCATTACCCATGTTAATGTATAGCCATAGACTTATGCTGTAATCCCATGTTAATTTCCCATAGACTCAAGAATCTCATGTTAAAGTGAAACCATAGACTTAAATTGGTTAAAAATTTAATGCAAACTCTTTTCAGGAAAAACTAAAAATATTATTATAAAAATGTACAAAATTTTAAGATATGATGTCTAACAAAATAATCATTAAATGAGTGGACGATGTGAACTAGTGATTGAAAAACTTCAAATGTTGGGTTTCAGAGCCGTATTAATACCGGTTCTATATTAATACAATAAATACATGCAATACACCAAATATAATATATCACTGCATTTTAATAGTATAGCACATAAAATGGCAAATGAATATTGCAGGTATTCTAATTACTTGTTATATTATTGTCATATTAATTGATGTGTTCGTAACTATTAATAGCGCATAATTTAAACTACTGTATTAACAATATAATTTAAACGCTTCTAATTATAAATTCGCCTAAATTGAGTTAAATAATAAATCATCCCACTACCAATTGCCGGTCAAATTAAGTTACAAATCCACCTTGTAACTTTATTTTGAATTGTATTTCAGACGTATTTTACAAAATTTGTACAAATGTTATTTAATAACATTTTGTGATAAAATGGGTTTAAGTGGGAAGGGGTGCACACGTGCAGTACAAATGCAGTACAGGTGCACTCGATTGATAGAAACTGCGGAAATATTAAAGGGATTGCCTGATGTATTGGCTTAAATGAAAACCTATTTTATTCACTATGAATTAGTGTAGTAAGAATTCTGAAATTGGTTTCATAATTTAAGTTGACAACCTTAGGCACCAGAATTAAAGTTTCATCAAGATCGGGTGAATAGTTTAAGAACAGGAATTTTTCAAAGTTTGTTAGTCGTTTTAATGTATTCCTATGGGAGGGGGTCCGTTTTCGTATTAATTGATGGTTGAAATCATAGTTAAATTGATCATGCTCAAATACTAATAGAGTTAATTCAAAACCCCTCCTCTCCTGAGATCTTTATTATTTAATGCATACAACGATATGCTATTCATTGGCCAACATTGACCGCTACCCCAACTGTGGCCACACAAAAATCGGTGATTTACCCGATGGGCGGCCTGTGTTCGGTCGGTTCGCAATTGATTCCCATTATAATTGATGTCATGATATCTACACTAAACTATTGTCTGATAACTAATAGTGAATCCCAATAATCAAATAATCACTTCAAACACATCTTTAATGAAAATATTTTCACTTTAAAAATGAGATAATTTTTAGTTAAATATTTTGTTGTAAATTTTCCAAAATAATTCCGACTAACAAACTTTGAAAAATTCCTGTTCTTAAACTATTCACCCGATCTTGATGAAACTTTAATTCTGGTGCCTAAGGATGTCAACTTATATTATGAAACCAATTTCAGAATTCTAGCTACACTGATTCATAGTGAATAAAATAGGTTTTCATTTAAGCCAATATTACATAAGTTACGGCAACAGTAATCAGTAAGATTGATAATTTGCAAAAATGCATGTTTAGTGGGAAGTGATGGTCAATTACTACTTACATTAATTGACAATTAGTTACATAAAGTTATGTGTATATAAATTACATTAATGTACAGTATATTATACTGTAATATAAATAAAGATGTACTTTATATTAGATCTGAAATAAATATAACCAATTTGTAAATCAAATTAAATTGTTTTTGAATAAATAATTGATGTATAAATGACGGCAAGTTGAAATAAAAGTGATTATTCTAAATGATTGACAGGAATGTCGAAAGCGGAACCATTTTGGATAATTTGGTCAATAAGATGGAAGAATACGCCAATAATTTGGAATCTCTCGTATGATATGATTCTTATTTGAATAATAATGTGAAACATTTGACTAATTAATACAAATTGATTGAAACACTTAACGATTGGATGGTTTGTACGGATTGGACATCAGGTCGAAGAACGAACAGCAGATTTCTTGGAAGCTAAGAGCAAAGCAGAGGACCTTCTCTATCAACTGTTGCCAAAGTAATTGTTTAATAAATATTAGTATTATATAATATTTCAGTCTAAATACCTAGACTACTCTGGTATAGCAATATACCGTATTGCACAGTAAGCAATATAGCCTCAATCTAACATTCCATTTATTTTAAAATTAATTCAACTAATATTTTTAAAATAATATTTTTATGAATAGCCCATTGATAATGAGCAATACTATTAAAACTAACTGTTACTGTATGTGCTCAGCTAATTGTCGGCAGTGTTTGTGTTTAATATTTTGGTCGTAAAAATAGGGTTAACTTATTTTAAATATAGCTTAAAATTCAAATGAATTAATTTCACAAATAAGTAAAATATAAATTCTAGGTAATATTCAGGGCATTGAAATTTGCATATATTTATATGTTAGCAATTATTTAATATTAATATTAATCATTATTAGTATACTTGTTATTTCGATGAGAAGTGATTGATTGAAATAATGGATTGTTGTGTTGATTGTGTTGGTTGTGTACAGGTATGTGACGAGTCAACTAATCGCAGGGCAATCAGTGACTGCGGAAGCGTTCGATTGCGTCACTATATTGTTCAGTGATATCGTGGGCTTTACGTGTCTGTCGGCTCAGAGCACTCCTATGGAAGTGATTGACTTTCTTAATGATCTCTACATTTGCTTTGATTCAATTGTCGGCAACTTTGATGTCTATAAGGTTTTACTCTCATTTATAACACTTATTTCAATTTATAATCGCATTGTTAATGCATGCAGCATGTTAGATTTCCAAATAATCGATGTGTAAATTATCCATATCGATCCAATAATACAATACAGATTGGATCAAAACTAGAATAATAAAGCCAAAGGCAGGAGTAAAAATATTTAAGGGAGGAAATATCTGGGGCCATAATTGCCAGCCCGATTGATATTGGTATGAAAATGTGCAGAATTATCATCAGATGTTTAATCTTTGATCAAAATCGGCAAATGGCCAGAGACGTTGGCGTACTGGTCAATTGTCAAATCACGCGTCTATGGCTTATAGCATTGAAAAAAGGCGATTCACATAATGAATTGTTGATCACATGAATGCAATGCTATAAGCCATAGAAGCGTGATTTGAAAATTGGCCAGTACTCAAACGTCTCTGGCCATTTGCCGATTTTGATCAAAGATTAAACATCTGATGAGTCATCAGTGATGACAATTCTGCACATTTTCATACCAATATCAATCGGGCTGACAATTATGGCCCCAGATATTTCCCCCCTAAGGTTATTTTGCGAGTGTATTAAAGTTAGTTATAAAATTACATTTATTTGGTATGTTTTGTAAGATTTTAATTGACTTTTGGTCATTTGGAAAAGTGACGAAACAATATAAAAATTTAAACTATTTTTGATAACTAACGCTGATTAATACTGGGATTTTGATTAAATATATTCACTCCTACCTTTGTCTTTATTGATATTATCCTAGTTTTGAACCAATCTGTATAATAATGACATAAAATCCTACTGTATATAAAGTTGTGGGCAATTATAATCAAAGACTCCGTAAGTTCCAATCTACATGTTCACATACAACGTTCATACCGTAAAAAATGACATAACTTTACAAATAATATTGGGTCAAATAATAAATAGGCAGCCTAAACATGAAGCCGTGTAGATAGAATTGTGAAATTAGTTTCATAATTTAAGTTGACATGTCCAGGCACCAGAATCCAGAATATCAAAATCAGATGGTAATGGGTTTTTTGAATGTTCAAAAATTATTCAATTAGATTCTAATTATTAGAATATAATTTTAGATGTCCCTTATTAATGATGGTAAACGCGATTTAACTGCACAAATCAATGTGATTTTAGATTGAGTTTTATTAGAATAATTTATTGATTTATAATATTTCTATTTATACATTAAATGTATAAATAGAAATATAAAGTATATAGAAGTATAAATAAATTTTATTTATGTATATATCATATTTAATTAATGATAAACATATAGATTATATAATAATTAATGCTAAGATTGAATGGTAAGGTTGAGACAATAGGGGACTCATATATGGTTGCGTCGGGACTTCCGATGAAGAACGGAGATCTTCACGCGCGAGAAATTGCGCGAATGTCGCTCTCATTGCTCAACGCTGTCATGTCGTTCACAATAAGGCATAAACCGGACCAACAGCTCAAAGTGCGGATTGGCATCCATTCGGGGCCAGTCGTGGCCGGCATTGTGGGCCTCAAAATGCCCCGCTATTGCCTCTTCGGTAAGACAATGCCTGCAATACATTGATTACATTGATTGGTGTTGTGATTGTGGATCAACCCATAGGTGATACAGTCAACTGCGCTTCAAGACTCGAATCCACGGCTTTACGTCAGTCTCTAATGCCATGCATTTAATGAACAATAGATCTAACGTTTTAATCTTTTTCTCGTCAAAGCCCTAAAAATCCATATCAGTTCTGCAACTAAACAAATATTAGACAAATTTGACAAACAATTCAAATTGGAGTTAAGAGGAGACGTTCACATTAGGGTTTGTGTCCATTTCGTTACTCATTGTACATAATAAAGTATGAGCTTATCTTATCATCAATCCATTACCACATTTTTAACCACAATTCATTTATGAAGAATGTGGTTTATAGGATTGTTCATGAGCATTTTATAAATTATTATAATAACTAATAATAATCACATTTCACGCACATTAACGTGTAAAAATAGAAAAGCAGTTTTTGATGATAATTTTGAAAATCTCAATTCATATCCATATACTGTATAAATTAGTATTGACTAAAATTTCAATTAATAGGGCAGAGGATCTATGACTACATATTGGCTGTTAGAAGAGATGGACAATAAGGGAACGGCTTTTAATTCAATAAAGACTTCAAACGTCAGAAATAATCCTCTTATTTCTATACAAGATTCCTAGGGTTTCGCATAATTAATAAATGAGTTTTCATTTCAATGAATACATACACGTATGTAGTGCTGTATTGTCAATACTATTGCTATAAGAAGCATACATTGAAGTATGATATTATATTAAGCACAATTATGCAGAATCCATATCATTATTACTGTAATTATAATTTATTTTACAAATAAAACGTTATACTAAATTAGTATAAATTTTTAATTATTCATATAAAATAATGTACTTTAAAAAATAAATGTTGATTTTATTACCATAATTATATGATTATAAAAATTATTGTGACAATAAGTCATTACAAAAAGATAAATTACTTAATATTGATCAATTTAATTAGTAAAAATGTTAATTTTCTTAAATAATAACAAGACTTTTTGAAATTCCACTTATTATTGGACCACTGCTAGAGTTGCCAGAAATTATTTTATTTGTTTTTGTATTTTACACAAATTGTAATAAAATCCTTAATATTTTTTATTTTAATTTTTTTTATATGAGTTTTATAAATATTATTGAAATTCATGAGAATATTAAGTTTTTAATGGGTTCACACATACAGTAACATTTACAAATAGATTATTTAATTATTTAAAAATCAGTTATAAATAAGGCAAAATAAAAATGTAAAAATTAGTAAAGTATTAATCATAATATCCGTCACATTCAGGGCTTTGATCCGTGCACTTAAAAATACCGTTCGGCTTAGGTTTTTGAATATATACCAAACGAAATGAGCTGGATGAAAACTGTAATTTGTAAAATAAAGCTTTATGTCTAGTTTTTTACTTTAAAAAATATTGAAATCACGTGGTTAAAACATAGAAATGTCGGGACATATGCTCACGTCATAGTTGTAGCCAAACTGGAGGGGTCGGAGGGGCGGGTGGGCTACTCGTAAGAGGAAATATCAGTCTATGATAAAGTTTTATAAAAATTAAATAATATTCTTTCATAACTAATAATAAAAGCAAAGACAAGTTACTTAATATTTGGAAAAATTAACGTTAGATCTATTGGCGAAGATTGTCATAGTATTGTATTTTTTAACTTCACACTAAACAATTTTCCCATAGATGTAATGATAAAAGATATTCAAATTTTTTAGATGGGGCTGCATGAATATAGATTTTGATATCTCCTCATACAAATAGCATACCCGCCCTCCGACCGCCTCCAGGTTGGCTACAACTATGATTTGACATATGCCCCGAAATTCCTATATTTGAATCATAATCACGTGATTTGAATTTTTTTAACCATAATTCAGCTAATGGTTTATAGGATCGTTCGGCCCCTCAGCCCCCGCTCTATGGGATTTAACATGGGATCTCGTATAGCATCTCTGTGTGTGAGTTGTTTTTATTAGAAAATCTAGACATGGAGCTTCATTTTACAATTTACAATCTAGCTCATTTCGTTTGGAATATATTTGAAAACCTAAGCCGAGTTTTTTTAAATGTCCGGATAATATCTTACACAAGATTCTCAAATGTCGCAAATAAAACGGTATCACTGATACACATATACTGATACAGTTATAATATTTTAAATGCTTAATTCGATAAATATTTGAAAAAACGA